TTCATCGCAATTTAGTGTCAGTGTATGGTGAAGGATGTATGAGCATCCAAATGGTTCGCCGATGGCGTTCATGGTTTTCGGAAGTACGGCAAAACGTGCATGATGACGAGCGAAGCAGCAGGCCCGTTACTGCTACGGACAATGCACCGTTGCTGCTGTTCGAAATGTGATGGAAGCAGATCGCCGCGTCACCATTGACGAAATAATAATTCGACTGCCTCCTGGAATCGAAATTGGACGCTCTTCGATTGGAACAATCATGTCAGATGTTTTGAATTTTTGCAAAGTCTGCGCAAGAGAGATGGATCCCGCGTTTGCTTTCGGAAAATCACAAGCAACAACGGATGGAGGCAACCCGAGCTTTCCTGGAAATGCATCGAAGAGATGAAGATCAACTGTTTTCAGTATTGTCACTGGAGATGAAAGCTGGGCGCATCATTCAACTCCAGAAACAAAACGACAAAGCATGGTGTGGAAGAAGCCTGAGGAAAGTGTTACTCGTCCATGACAATGATCGCCCTCACGCAGCTCGAACGACCCAAACGTTGCTGGAAAACTTCAAATGGGAAATTTTCACACATCCACCTTATTCTCCGGACTTACCCCAAGCGACTTCCATCTTTTTCCAGAACTCAAGTTACACCTTGGAGGCAAGCACTTTGCGAATGATGACGAAGTGCAGGCAGAGGCGAACCACTGGCTACGATGACAGGACACGGCTTGGTACAACAGTGGTATCAAAAAATTGCTACAACGGTAGCAAAAATGTTTAGACAGAAATGGTGATTATGTAGAGAAGTAGTCTATGAGTTGTATAATGAAATAAAATAACTGAATAATTGTAAATAATGTTGTTTATTTGTTAAAAAATAGGGAAACTTATTTATTGGATGGCCCTCGTAGAATGCGTCTGCTTTTGTCATTAAGACTGGGAGCACTACTCAAGTGGCAGGCCGACTTACCTCCAAAAGAAATGGCCGCCTCTGACATGAGGAACAAACGCCATGTGCAGCCGCTCCTAACATGGAGTACAAACGCTGCTCATCCTGTATCCCTGTATCAGGAGCCCTTACAGGGTACTATCAGCCGGGCCAGCTGAACCCAGGTTTTTTACCGAGCTTGTTACTGCTCCCCCTCCTCCTTTTTCATCCGGGCTTGGGACCGGCAAACCTTATATGGATAATCTAAAAATACTCCGCTACCTTTATGATATACTTGAACGTAAGAGACAATATGTATAGGCATGCTAATTATAATAAAATAACTAAATAGTAAATATAAAAAAATCTTTTAATTCTCATCATAAAATAGAAAAAAGTTTCAACTCTAAGATTGCAATTAAGAAAATATTCACTATTAAAATAGTATTTCCACTAAAGTTAAATTTAGATACTTGACAAGTATTAATCCTAAATTAGGAATCTAATTAGAAAATGAGACAGTTTAAATCTTCGCTAATTGCCTTATTACAAAATCAGACGATTGCTCTTTGCCATATCAGATGACATTTGGTTATTGATTACTGCTGAAAAGATATCTCTAACTTCGTTTGGCATCTACTGAATAGATCTATTTTTATATCATTTTATTTCTGCATTTATATAAACTTATAATATAACAATATTAATTCTAAATTAATATAATATGAGGTTTCGGTAACAGCTTTGTTAGCATCTTCAGACAAAAGTACTGAATAATGATGTTATCAAAACGTCAAACACATTTTGTTAACTTGGATTTGGTATTGTTATATCTTATGTTTCTAATCTTTATTTCGAATTTTAGATACCTTATGATTCTACATTTATGATATGTTATTTTATCAGATAGAGAACACAAATTTTATTAAATAAAAATAAATTGAACCTCTTCTGAAATAAAAAATATATACACAAAAAATCACGCATTATTTCGTTTAACCAAATATTAATTTATCAAATCTCCAAACCTTGAAGCTGACAAAGCGCTTTGCGTTTAAAATATGGAAGATTTAAAATTTTAACTATTAAGAGGTGGAAAATCTGATGAATTCAAATATCAGGATCTGGAAACCTGATGAGTTCAACTATCAAGATCTGGAAGCCTGATGAGTTCAACTATCAGAATCTGGAAGCCTGGTGAGTTCAACTATCAGGATCTGGAAGTCTGATGAGTTCAACTATCAGGATCTGTAAGCCTGATGAGTTCAACTATCAGGATCTGGAAGTCTGATGAGTTCAACTATCAGGATCTGGAAACATGACGAGTTCAACTATCAGAATCTGTAAACCTGATGAGTTCAACTATCAGGATCTGTAAACCTGATGAGTTCAACTATCAGGATTTGGAAACCTAATGAGTTCATCTATCAGGATCTGGAAGCCTGGTGAGTTCAACTATCAGAATCTTTAAACCTGATGAGTTAAACTATCAGGATCTGTAAACTTGATGAGTTCAACTATCAGAATCTGGAAGCCTGGTGAGTTCAACTATCAGGATCTGGAAACCTGATGAGTTCAACTATCAGGATCTGGAAGCATGTCGAGTTCAACTATCAGAATCTGGAAACCTGATGAGTTCAACTATCAGGATTTGGAAGCCTGATGAGTTCAACTATCAGGATCTGGAAGCCTGATGAGTTAAACTATCAGGATCTGGAAGCCTGATGAGTTCAAATATCAGAATCTGGAAACCTGATGAATTCAACTATCAGAATCTGGAATCCATATGAGTTCAACTATCAGGATCTGGAAACCTGATGAGTTCAACTATCAGGATCGGGAAGCCTGAAGAATTCAACTATCAGGATCTGGAAACCTGATGAGTTCAACTATCAGAATCTGGAAACCTGACGAGTTAACTATCAGAATCTGGAAGCCTGACGAGTTCAACTATCAGGATCGGGAAGCCTGATGAGTTTAACAATCAATATATAGAAGCTATACGAGTTTAATTATAAATATAAGGATACCTGGAGAGTTTAACTCAACATGAGAAAGCAGCCCAAAGTGTTTAAATATCAAGATAAGGAAGACTAATGGGTCGATGGATGAGTGGTTTGAACTGTTGGTTTTCGACCGCTAAAACCCGGGTTCGAATCCCGCATTGGGCACTTTTTTATGATTAAAAATATACTCCAATGACCCCCGATTCTTGCAAATGTTTAACCCCACCAGAAAGTGCAAGTAACCAAACGGCGCTCTGGCATACTTGTAAGTAAATGAATAACATAAAGCATCAAGGGCTGCGTATCTTTTATTAGAACAATTATAATACGAGCTTTCGGGCACATACGCCCTTCTACAGGAATTAGGCATTGTTTCACTAATTCCTGTAGAAGGGCGTATGTGCCCGAAAGCTCGTATTATAATCATTCTAATAAAAGATACGCAGCCCTTGATGCTTTATGTTATTCATTTATTAATCGTACAGGGTTTTCAATCGATACTTGTAAGTGCAAAAAGTGCAAGGAAGATTGATAAACCAGGAAATAAGAGGCTGTCTGTGGCATGTTTGTATGTGTGTTGTCTGCTCATATTTTATTAATAAAGAAAACAATTATTAAAATTTGATAAAAATAGTACAAATGTGATATTGTACTGGGATAAGGTGCATAAATTATGAAAAAGACATCTCCTTATCGTGCAACTGAAAGTTGCTGATGGCTTGCGTCATTAAATTGTTTATTTTTATTGACGACTTAACATTTATCCTCGTCCCAAGATAAATAAAAATACACAGATATAAAATTATTTTAAAATACAATTTTAAGATATATTGATCTATTGTAAGTTTTTATATAACATCCCGGGATAAACAACATTATCAAGAAATGTCTATATAATACAATTAGCTACAAGCCTATGAGATTATTTATTTATACAACTAGCATTATTTATTCAAAAAGGTACATAAAGTTTTCAATAGTTTAATGGAATGTTTTCTATTTGAAATTATTCAAGTTATACGGTCTAATATGATTACAGTTTGATAGGAATTTAATTGGAAATACATTTGCGTAGGTTAAGAAATTAGTAATTTGTGTTCCTTTTTCTTAAAAAAAAAATATATAGACACTTCAGCTAGTTTTAGCTTTATTTTCTCAACGTTTCATTATTATTTTTTTTATATATTCGTTAGGAGGAATGAATAAAATAAAGCATATGGCAAGGCGTTAAAGATTTATTTATTTTTTTCTGATTATATAAAAGGGCGTACCTGGATCTGTAAAGAAAAAAAAAATTTTTCTCAAAATATTTCGAGAGATTGCTCCTTCTTTATCAATTTATTGCACAGTGAATTTAATTTACAAATTATTGTACATCATATGGAAACAAATTTGTCATTGGTCAAAAATAATTATTGATAATAATACATTTAAAAAATTAATAATAATAATAATACAATAAAAATATAATTAAAATTAAAGGCTTTTTAGAATGCAGTATTTTATGCAGTATTTTATTTTTAGATATAAAGAGAGTTAATTACCTCGTATTTAAGGCAACAAAAGAATCATCTAATTTACATACATCGTTCTAACCAGATTCAACTTATGCAAAAACAGACGACAAAGCAAAGAATAAACAGAATAATAATAGAGAGTAAGTTCCTATTTTTTACAAGCTTTCACACTCAAAGAATATTCAACTTCTTGCTTCAATTTCTCCTGATGAAGACAAAATATTTTTGTTGAAAAGTTGAGAAAATAAAACTTTGACTAGCCAAAGTGTCTGTTTTTTAAAAATATAAATGCCGGTCAGACAACCTCTATCTTTAAGATTGTGTTCCCCTTTATTGTTTGTGTATGATTCCTATATGTTTCCATGCTATTTTTGACCTATCTTGTTAGAAATTCACTAATATACAAGAGCCTAGCCGAATGACCCGGGCAACGCCCGGGGTTTACCCGATTAAATGCTTTTATTCAAATACTATTCGTTACAATTATAAATTGGCGCCGTGGATGTCATTCTTGTATAATATATAAATGAGTTTAAAAATTGTTAAAAAAAAAAAAAAGGATCGGCCGGGAATCGAACCCGGGCCGCCCGCGTGGCAGGCGAGCATTTTACCAATGAGCCACCGATGCCTATAAGAAATGGCCATATTTGGGTATTTACCAGGTCTATTAGTATGAAACGCGAAAATTTTCAGTGAATTCAAAAGTTCACCAATTCCATACAACAAAAGATTTTTTATTCAAAGTAACTGCCCTGATTAGCTATACACTTGGACCACTTTTCAGGCAATTTTCGAATTCCTTGTCTGAAAATTTCTATTCCTTTTGAGTCGAACCAGTCAACAAGTCATTTTCGGAGTATGTCTGAGTTCGAAAATTCCTGTTTTTTTGGGGCGTGTCCTAAAGATGTGAAAAGGTGGTAGTCCGACGGCACTAAGTCTGGTGAGTACGGCGGGTGGGGTAAGAGTTCCCAGCCCAAGTCTTTTATGGTGTTTTTGACCACCGTAGCGTTGTGGGCTGGAGCGTTGTCATGTTGCAGTATCAGGTTGTTGTGCTTTTCACGCCATTCCGGTCTTTTTTCATTCAACGCCTCTCTCAAACTGTGCATTTGTTGTTCGTAGCGACTAGTATTGACCATTTTTCCAGGTTTCAGGAGCTCGAAATATACTACGCCGGTCTGGTCCCACCATATGCAAAGCATTGCCTTTTTTTCCGAAGCGATTGGGCCTAGGCGTCTGTTTTGGAAATTGGCCGGGCAGGCCCCACGACTTTTGGCACGTAGGATTGCTCAAGTGGATCCATTTCTCATCAGAAGTTACGATTCGGTGCAAAAATGACTTCTTTTCATGCCTGGCGAGCAGCCCTTCGCAGGTTACCAGACGCCGTTATTGCTGCCTTTCGCTCAACTCGTGGGGACCCATCTGAAAAGCTTTTGGGTCATTCCGAGGCTATTTAAACGTAGAGAAACAGCACCTTGAGACACCTGGAGCTGTTTTGCGAGTTTCTCCTGCATTTGGGTACTGTCCTCATCCAATAAAGCTTGCAGTTCAGCGTCCTCGAACTTTTAGGGCGGTTTTCCATGTGGTTCATTATCAAGTTCAAAATCGCCACTTTGGAATTTTTTGAACCACCTGTAACACTGCGATTTGCTCAGAGCGTGGTCGCTGCAAACTTCCTCGAGCATTCGGTGGGCTTCAGTGGCACTTTTCTTCCAGTTGAAGGCGAACAACAAAACTTCCCGCAAATGGGCACTTTTTGGCTCGGAAATCGCCATTTTCCACGGGCTCCAGAAAATTTTCACGATTTGAATTTTTCTAAAACTGCACGCATACTGATGCCACGTGAGTCAAAGAACAAAACGCCTACAACAGCGCCACCGTCGGCTCAAATAAAGTTGCACAGCGGCCTCTGGCGCCCATTTTCGCGTTTCATACTAATAGACCTGGTATTCCATTCACGAAAGCAAACGGTGACAGAATTGTTGATTGATTGTTGATGATGACTTTGATACTTGTATATTTTAATGTGTAAGGAGTAAATTCCATAGTTTTTTTTTTTTTAGATTGTGAATATTTAGCATAGTTTCCTCTTTATAAAATTTTTAACTGTAGAAGGGTCGTTTAAAACCCGAAGTCTTGTAAACTTGTTAATTATGCAAATAAAGAAACCTATTCTCGGAGATTTACATTTGATTAATCAGATTGTAAATATGTAAATTAGTCAAAAGTACACTATTGCATATAAAACATCATTTTTTTCAGGTTATATTTATAATTGAGTTAAAAAGGATTTACTTTAACTATTTTTTTTTGTAATTTATTTCAATGTTTATCCGTCCTACTGTTATCCATTTCAAGGAAATCTATTTTCATAATATAATAAATCATCACCAAAATGTGGGTTTCCTTAAAAAAAGGGTGGAAGCGATTCGCTGAAACATCGAAATAAAGTCTTTAAAAAATATGATGCACTAGCGCGCCATCTGTTATCAAAATTCAAAACTATTTTAAAGGCGTAAGATTCTTTTTGATATTAAACAATTTCTACTGCCCTTACTGCAATGGAAAAATTAATGAGAGGGCCTGGCTCATCAGTGATGAACCCTCTCAGCGGTTTCGCCAGTTTAATCTACCATACAGCTGTTATATTGCATTTTTGGAACTTCCTTTTTATAGTGATACTGTTGATAGACTCTTTGAATGGGTATTTTAGAAGAACTATGGACATAAGCTTTTTTAGGACAGTAGAATTACATACCTTTATAAATATATTTATAAATTTTAATGTCTTTAAAAAATGTTGGAGTAAATCATCTTTCATTTAATTGCCTGTATCATTTCCTTGAATAGAGTGGCATCGAGTTACTGAAAGGTCGGGATCTAAATAAAAGAAAATTGATTGATGTAGCTATATATTTTTCCAAACAAACTTTCAATCAGCAAATGATCTTAAAAAAACAATTATACAGTAATTTGGTAAAGAAAACATTCAAGACAAAGAGGATGAGTTTCTTTTTATGAACATGCGTTCGAGCTTTCGGGCATAATGTCGCCCTTCAACAGGAATAAAACTACAAATAGAATCAAGATACGTCTATTTATATACAGGTGATTAGCATAAACAAGAAAACTATTATTTTTAGAGAGATAAAATTTAAGTTTTATGTGTGATATACAAAACAGGAATCATGAGGGGCGTGGAGCTTATAAAACTTAAATTTTATCTCTCTAAAAATAATAGTTTTCTTGTTTATGCTAATCACCTGTATATAAATAGACGTATCTTGATTCTATTTGTAGTTTTATTCCTGTTGAAGGGCGACATTATGCCCGAAAGCTCGAACGCATGTTCATAAAAAGAAACTCATCCTCTTTGTCTTGAATGTTTTCTTTACCAAGTTACTCCAGAGGATTTTACCTTGTTTAAAAATTATACAGTAATCCCTCGTTAAGACGAACTCAACGGGAGAACGAAATACCCTTTTCGTCTTAAAAGAATTCGTATAAACCGAATTCGTATTAGACGAATTGAATTCGTGGTATCCAGGGGGTTGTACTTATGTACTACTGATGAGTAAGAAAACTAAATTTCTGAGGAATAACGAATAAATTTATTTGAAAACAATATTAATGAAAATATTTTATAATTTTAAGGAACAACAATTATGTATATGTAGGTGCATAAAGTATTTTATTTTAAAAGACAATATGGATAATATAATCACAATGTAAGGCAATAACATGAGAATATAAGTTTATTTTAAAACACAAATAAAAAAGAACAATAAAAGAAACAACTTACATAATATACTTGGTACATACAATGTTTATGTGTATGCAGCATATGCAGTATGCATAGAGTATCCTATATCTGGGGTTTCTCTGCAGGCTTCAGAAAGTCTGTTATAGTTTTTGTAGTATGTTAACTTTTCGGACCGATATGTGATCATAATAATGTAATAATATATTTCTGTCATCATTAATACTACTAATAATGATAATTAGCACATTTTTTTTAATTTAAAAAATAATACTAGTTTTGGAAACATTCACTCTTACAATGGGAAGTATCCAAGAAAAATCTAGCCATTCGGATAATGGGTTATTTGTTGTATTGTTGTATTGTTATGGGGATATATTGTTTATGATATTGGCAAGTAGCTCTGCAACTCCAGTCACAAGAAGCTCCATGGGACATCTGTCAATCATCCCTGGACTCCGGGGGGACCACAGGTGTGAGGGGTTCTCGGAATCTGATCGGCAAATAAGGAAAACGAGTCGGTGGCTGACCACTCTCATTTTTTTTTTTTTTTTTTACTTTGGGATAAGTTGTTATATTATCTGACTCTCTCTTCCTATAAATACCTCTTATATATAATTTTATTTGAGAACTAAAAGGTAAATACCCCTTATAATAAATTAATTATTCCCAAATTTGATTTATTTATCTCCTCGACAATATAATTTAACTAAAACCATCCACTCCTAGACAAAACTTGAGGAAGTGGAACGCCTTCGATTACCCCTGTCGTCTTTTCTTTTTAAGAAGATTGAAGCAATTTTGTTCAGACTTGGTTATCTCGTGTGTCTTCAATAAAGGTCACTGTAATATCTTTCAGAGTTATTGTCTGAATCCCGATATAATGTTAAAGGTACAACTTTCTTAAATTTTCTCTATGGGTGTAGTTATAGGAAATAATCAAATTTTATATATGAGCTTGTAGAGAAAAATGAAAAAAAAAATTCTTGCAATTAAAAATATCTGTATATTTATTATGGAAAATACCATATATAATTTTACCTTAAAAACCACGAATTTAAATACAGTAGAACCTCCCTGGAAAGGACAACTAATTGCAAAGCCAAAGTGTATTTTATGGAGATGTGCCCTCTTACCGGAGAGTTACTAAATAGTAAAAATTGTAATTTTGCACATGACAACTGTCCTTTGTAGAGAGGTGTCCACTAGCCCGAGTGTCCTCTCATGGAGGTTCTACTGTGTCGTAAATAAAATTGTCAAACATAAGAATATGGTGCGACTTTTTTTGTTAACATCCAAATTTCTCCTTTTGCCGCCTCACTCAATAATAGGAACTTGGCTCATTGGCACTAACAGCTGCAAGATGATGAGATGAACACGCAAAAAATATTTGAATAGTTTTGTTTCTTTTCTTCAAATGTGATACATAGCCGTTACATTGTTCCTGAGGAGAAACTGAACAAACTGCTCTTCACCTTATCTATGACTGTCCGAACTTTACAGAAGTGAGACATCGATTGTTCTCTGATCTAAATGATTTAACTCTCTTACATCAGCCACTTTGTCTATATATAAAAAAAATAACGGGCCCGATGATGAGCTAACGCTTGAAAGCTTGCCGTTTTATATTTTTTATTTAAAATAAAGAAACTTTTTGCAATTAATTTTATCGGTATATACCTTTTCAATCTTCATTGCAATTATTCCGCAATCTAATTTCTGAACTCTGTCGATTAATACATGTTAATATGCAAATAGAGTAGAACATGGATAATTTGAATGTCTATAATTCGAAAAGGTCTTTAATTCGGATATTTATCTTGGTCCCTAGAATTTTCTATAAATAGAATTTTTGGATAATTCGATTTTTTT